TTTCTAAGTTTTGACAAAACGTTGCAGCCAAAGAAGGAAAACTGTATCTTCTCGTTGATATTCTTGCAATGTAATTATAAAAGTTTATTATAACAATTTCTTAATTATAAAAGAAGAATCGTAACATGCATTTCCTAATGTTGTTTTTACAAGAGAAGAAAGAGATATCGTATTCTTCTATTTCTAAAACTTATATCCTATAATTCGCCAGCTAGCAAGCAATACGAAGTACTACACAAAATCTTTAATAGTTTTTAATTAATAGAATATTCAGAATTTTATGGAATACAAAACTGTCAATCAATAAGAAAGAAAAATCAAAGCAATTAGAGGATCGTTGAAAAATTGTAATTATTCAAGTACAATCGATTGCTTAATTAGAGTAATGTATATCATACGTATGCCGTCACGTCTTGTTTGTATTTACAGAGCCAAAAATTATTTAAATATTGTTTGTATAACAATTATTTAAATATATTTTTATAATTCTAGTTAATAAAAATCATTTTAAATATTTTTAAGTCGTATACAAAAGTTTATAATAATTAAAGAACAAAAACTAGTTTATTTTGCCTACAATGAATATGTGACTCAACTATATTTCAAGAACACTAGTTCTCACGTAATATCTACATAAAAAACTTATATCAATTATATAAATATATCCTAATAATTCTATTCAATAAAAATCATTTTGAACCTTTTTAAACCGTATACAAAAATCTTCCAACATATGCAAAACTTTTAAAAATTAACATAAAAATGTGTAAAAATGAATTTACTCAAAATAAAAATTTTATCGACTAGGACTATAATATTGTCAGGACCCTTAAATTCAGAAGTTAGTGGAAACTAGGTGTCAATGAAAGGGTTCAAAATTTCAGAAAGTGGAAGACAGATGCCTGTAGGAGAGTGGACCGACCGGTTTGTGCAGGAAGTATATAAGTTGAAATTTTGAAATTTGGTCCCACTTTCTGCATGCACCCTTCTTCTCCAAATTTCTGAACCTTCCATTTTCTCATCCTTCTCTCTATAATCTCTATCTTCTCTCTACGATTTATCATCCTTTTCTTCTTCCGATCATCATTCAGGCAACGCCTGAGTATTCCTGATGCCAAGAGCAACACTTTGCACCGATCAAGTTGTGGTTTAAGTTGGTGAGTACTTCTCTTCTTAGACCGTTCGTTTTCTGTCACATGCAAACCCAAATTCTGGTTGCATGAGTTCATCATCTCATTATGAGTATTCCTGGTCTTTTGTTTGATTTAGTTTCATAAAGTGTGACCGTAGAATTCTTAAGATTTCTGGTAGTTGTGAGCCATATCCTACATCGTTGAGCGTTCGGCTACGTTTAGAGGTAAGGGAAGCTTATATAATTTGATTATAATTCTCTGTTTTGATTGGTTGTATGTTTGAATGATGTTTTGTTTGGTTATTCGATGGATGTGAAATATTGGTGTTACTGCATGTTCGCCTGAAGGTGTTGATGATTGATAAATGGTGTGAACTGGGTAGGAATAGGGCTTGATCATAAGTCTGCAGTATTCTTTAGAATTATTACTTGTAGCCGAGGGTCATTCGTGACCGTTCGGTTTCTGTTATATGTGTTCGGTCTTAACTAAGTTCTTCTTTAGTAGAACTTCAGTTAATAACTGATCGGTCTTGTATTATCTATAATAGAATATAGTGTTCGATCTAAGCATAGTGTTACATTTTCACTTAGTAGTCATCCTAGATAAGATATTCAATATAGTTCAAGTTTTCAATATGATAAATATTCTCAGTTTGTAAGCAATGTTCCGTTATTTCAATGATCGGTCTTGGTAGTGCTCGGTATTGTACTGACACTCGGTCTTAGCAGTTCTTGGTTTTGTACTAGCATTCGGTTTCTTAGTATGTTCAGCTAATATGAGTAAGTATTTATTTACAAAACGTTCGGTTATATTATCAGTGTTCAGTCCCAGCCCAAAAGTGTTCGGCCTAGACCCATAGTATTTTGTCCAACCCATAAGTATTCAGTTTAAGCTTGTAGGTTTCAGTTTAAGCCCTTAGGCTTCATCAATAGTTATTATGATTTTCAGTTAAGTCTAAAATATACGCATTCTTTAGTATTCGGTACATTCTTAGAAGTTCTGTCTAGTAAAATAACGTTCTGTAGTAACTATTGAGTAACCACTAAACGTCCAAATATTACCACGAGTGTTCGGCTTATGAGGAGTCTTATCTAGAATGGACCGTTCGGTCCTGTTCTGTGTATAAGTGGAAGACCGCTCGGTCTTACACTAAGTGTCCAGATGTGTTAGTCTAGAAAGTATTCAAAATGTTTGGTCTTGTCTCTAGGGGAATGTTATTGTTCAGTTTTGGTTTCTGATGGGATTTGTTTGTATTGGTTCGGTTTGATTGTATTATATAAATGGAATGGTATGGAAATGAAAGAGTATTCCAGGGAGGAATATCTCATGAGTGGTTATTGAATGGTAGAGTATGAATGTGGTTATGCTCAGCTGACGGTTATCCTGATATTCTGTGATTACTCATTCTCAAGTAGAGAGGAGTAAGTCATGTGTGAGAATGGCAGGAGGTCCTAGTCCATAAGGTGAACTTGGGCGGAACGGACTAACCTCGGGTGGCAGCTGTTGAGGGCATCCCAACTATTACATCACCCGGGTGCAAAAACGTCGTAGCTACACAGAATTCATACAGTTTGGGCAGTCGGAGTAAAGTGGTCGGTCATTGCATGCTTTGACGTGTAATTTTGATTGGAAGTACATGATTGGATGTTACATGATTGTATATTGAATTATGTTAGATTTATGTGAAGTATAGGTTTTATTGAATTAATTAAATTACATAAGCTTACCCTATTTTATGTCTTGTATGTTTTGTCCGTTTGGTCATTATTTCTGTTGCAATGATCATCCTTTGGATGTGAGCAGATGGAGAAAAGTTGCTGGAAGAGGCCTTGGAAGAAGTGGAAGTGAAAGCTGAACCATAGGACCGTTCGATCATTAAGATTGGTCTTGTTTTGTATAACCGATTGGTATTAGTGTAGTTTTGGTAACTGTTCGGTCTAGACTGTGCTTTTGAAGAATCTTAAATTCTATAGTATTTTTTCGTAAGGCTGTTCGGCCATAACTGTACTTCTTATCCTCAAAACTGAACTGTAATATTGTTATCTGTGGATATTTTAGATATGATTTTATACAATATTTTTGGGATGTTACAAAGACATATATATCGAGTCTTGTCATATGCTATGATATTCAAATATATGCTATGATATTCAAATATGAGTATATAATATCCATAAGAACTTTAATTTTGATAATAGTGCTTTTTACTTTGGAAAATTCATAAGTTTCTTGTTTTTGTTTTTAAATTAAAATTTTATATGTGACAAGAATTTTTTTATTTTATCCAAATAATACAGGGAATTTTCACCAATCCGAAAATGAAAAAAAAAAAGAGAACAAAAATTTGAAGTTGAAATCCCAAACAGATTAGCGAATACATAATAAATTATTTATTGACACTCATCAGTACTCCCTGGATAATGTTTGTTAAATGATCCCAAGGATATCCTCTTCATTGAACTATCCTGTTTAATTATCTTTAACATGCCTTAATTTGAGTCTAGATTTTCATTTTAACAAATAAATTAAATTAAATGCTATCTTTATTTCACCAAGAATAAAAAAATTCCTATGAAAATAAATAGGTCATCAAAAAACTATTACTTAAGGATTAAGGCGAAGTTGAAATATCATTGTCAATCTAGCGTAGGTGATCCTGCTCAGCAGCAGAAATTTTGCACGCGCCAAAACACTTTTTCTATCACGCGCCAAAACATAAATTATTTGTTGAAAAATTTGTATGGCTAAATATTATTTAGTTCTAAACATTCATCCGGAATTAAAATTAGTTTATGTTTGAAATTTTAATATATTTTAGTATAAAAGTTTGATATTTGGGTTAAAATTATTATATTTATTTATTTTTAAAATTTAAAGAGTAAAATATATTAAAATTTCATAAAAAATTTATAATTTCGTGATATGTTTAACTTAATTTTTTTATATCTTTCTTGAAATTATACATTATATAATTGTATAAGGTAGTGTCAAATTTATTAAATATTAAATAATTAACTAATATTGGAAAGAATAAATCTAGTATAATTAGAAAAAAAGACTAACATGTAATTCGTCCATCATTTTTTTCTAAAATCCTTATCACTGTTGCATTGAGTGACATAAATGCTCCACACAATAATTAAGATTGAAAAACATAGCTAAACATATTTCAAAAAATAGATAAGAAAGTTATTTAGTGAGATAACTATTACCATATCAATCTAACGTTTACAAAAGAAAAAATTAACTCTACCTAAAAAAATATTGAAAGACATAATTCTAATCAACTAATTTAATCTAACTTAAATCAAAAGTTGTTTAAAAAACTTATGCTAGTAATACAAATAATTAGCGTTAATCAAATACAATATAAACTAAGAATCATATATCTAGTTTTCATAATATTTTTTATAACAAATTTATATATTTATTAATAATAATAAGTTTAAATGAAAAATTATTTGAGAAAATTCTATAAAAGTCATGTTAATAAAAAATTAAATTAAGAATCATGAATATAATTTTTAAATTTTTACACTGATAATAAAGCATATATAAAAATATTTTTATAATAAAAGTTAATTTACTTTAATATATTAAGCCAATATAATCTGTGAAAATAGTTTAACGCTATAGAACGTGCGAGTGGTGGTGGGAAAACTCTTGACACCTCGCGGTAACTGTATCTAAATAAATTCACCATTCATGGTAATTGAACAATAACGAAGAAAAATAAGTTTTTGTTTTATAACATAACAACGTGTAAATGAGGTTAGAATTATTGTTTCTGTGGATATTAAGAAAGAGAATAAGGGAGGTTCAAACAATGATCCTTGCCCTCACCCATTTACATTTTGTCTACAGATTTTTCTTTCTTTTTTTTTTTCTGTAAAAGAAAGAAAGGCCTTCGTATTGCATCGTATATATCCATATAAACTGAAGCTGCGTCCCTCAAATGTTGCAACTTTCTTTCTTGGTTCTCATTTTATGTATTTATCTCTCTAGAATTCTAGAGAGAGAAAGGGGAGAGATCAAAGCAGTGCAGCAGTTCAATTGATGAATGAAAGATTGATTATCCACCTCTCCTTTTGACTTTCCAATTCATGTTTCCATTTCCCCTCTCTTTTCTCTTTCTGGGATTTTTCTCCCTCCCATCAATTTGATACTCGTTTTCACATTGAAACAGTTGTAGAAAAAAGTTATGTTTTTCTTTCTTAAATGTTGCAGTCAATATGGTCATGAGCACCAGAAGAATATGAACGAAGTGGGGTTTGCTAGGAGCTATGTTCGTTGGATGGATGAGTGACACAACATTTTTCCAGAATTGGAATCATCTTAGGAGGGTATAAGTTAAAAAAACACAATTAAAGAAACAATTTCACCTTGTGAATTTGTTCTCTTTAAGGGTCACATGGGTTGCGCGAGTTCAAAGCAAAAGCGATGTCGGTGCTGCAATGCTCCGAGAAGCTACCCAATGCACGTCCATCACCCACCTCAAGCAGAAGGCGATAGCTACCATGTTGTGGCACTCACTTCCACAACACTGGGCACTCTCAAACTCAATTCCCCTGCTTCAACTCAAAATTTTACTGGGAATTGTGATCACGATTTCAATATTTCCAATGGGAAGGTTAGTAACACAAAAAGTTTAAGGTTTGATAACGAAAGGTTTGTCCAAAGGCTGGAGGAGAAAGAGAAGAGTTCAGTATCTGAGAAAGAGAGAAAAGATGAGTTCTCAATAGGGCTAATTGAGGCTAAGACTTGGTCCAGCATGATTGAGCAAAAGTTGCCAACAGTTTTTCCAAAGACCCCAATTAGAACACCGCCCGGTGAGCCTGAGACAATCAACACATGGGAACTCATGGAAGACCTTGAAGACACCACCAATTTCCGGTCGCCGAGTCACTACCGGAGCTTCTCTTTTGATGCCAATGGTGACAATGTTGATGAGGGAGATGTGGATGTTGATCCACCCAAAATGAGTGTCGTTGCTTCTCCAAAACCCATTTGGCTTCTGATGACTGAGGAGGAATCAAGACTGAACTCTGCAATCTCAGATTTTGATCCTGAATTGATTTCCTCATTCAGGAAGTCCTTCCAACATCTCTCTCCGGATAGCCCCTTCCATCTTCGACCGGCGTCGAGTGATGAAGAGATGCAAGGGACTAAAAGGGGGTCCTCATTTACGGATGATGTTAATGTCGGTGAACCATGCGGAAAGTACAAGGTGGTGTTGTACTTCACCAGCTTACGTGGCGTGCGAAAGACTTACGAGGATTGCTGTCAAGTGAGAATGATTCTCAAGGGATTGGGAGTGAAGGTGGATGAGAGAGATGTATCCATGCACTCAAGGTTCAAGGAAGAGCTTAGAGAGCTATTGGGGGATGGGTATGGTGGTTTAGTATTGCCAAGGGTGTTTCTAGGGGACAACTACATTGGTGGAACAGAGGAAATTCAGAGGTTGCATGAAGACGGGAGACTCGAGAAGCTTTTGGGTTGTTGTGAGAAGATTGAGGACAGTGTCGGAGGTGATGGAGGGGGAGTGTGTGAGGGTTGTGGGGATATAAGGTTTGTTCCCTGTGAAACCTGTTCTGGAAGTTGTAAAATTTACTATGAAGGAGATGAAGACGAAGAAGAATATGTTCATGGTGAGTTGGGAGAGTGTGGATTCCAGCGTTGCCCTGATTGCAATGAAAATGGACTAATTCGTTGCCCCATGTGTTGCTGTTAGTTTCAAAGGTACTGAAATCCAAATTTTGAGTTTTATTCTTCAGGGCATTTTGCACTTTGTCAGATTTTCTTGTAAAGTCAAGTATTTTATAAGCAGTGGAAAGTGAACAACGTGTTATAAATCAGTGTAGTTTGAAATATAGTATATATATATATATATATATACACTGTTTTCGTTTTTCCTTCTGTACAGAATTTGCCTCCTTGCAAAATCCATAAGAAATGCAAGAGAGAATTATAAAGCAAAGCTATGTAGTTGTTATCTTCTGCAGATGCAATGTTTGAGAGTTAATGCGTTGGGGTCTTTGAAGCATTTTAAGCCAAGAGTTGAACCTGCCGTAAGCCAATTGCATAATGCATTTTGAGGATGTGGGGTTTATGAGCTCCATGCAATATCATACTTGTAATATTTTTGTTATCAAATATTGACCAAAATCCATCGTTAGCACATCTTTTGTAGTCCGGGAACCATTTTTTAAAGTTTCAAATAGTTTATTCATTCTTTGCTCTGTTTTCTTCTATTTTGAAGTGATCGTTTTCCCAGCACCGTTGCACGTTTCCTATGTTACATATAAAGTCAAGCTAAGTGGGGCATAAAACAACGTAGTGGGTGGACATAGCCTAGGTCAACCCAGATACAGACTTTTTTAATCGAGTCAAATCATGTTTCTTTGGATGGAAAAGCACTATATTTAAATGCGCAGTATCCTTTTATAAAATAATGATATACTCTTTCAAAAAGAGTACTTTTACCCTTTCAAGCTGCATTTTTTTTGTACTTCTCAACCAAATCAGCCATTGCTTTGAATTGTGGTGATCAATTCAAGAAAATGACATCGTATGGTGCTGCCATTTAGAAAAGAATGCAGCGTTAAACAACGTCTGAATCGTACAAATGATATGTGCCAAAGAAGCAAAACCTTATTTTCCTTACCTACTGTGTCCTTTTTTCTTTATCAATTTCATATATGTTAATGCCAATCAATGAGCCTTGATGTAAGAAAATACCAATAAGCTACATGCCCCCTTGCTGTCCAATCAAGATCACCAATGGTTAGATGAAATTCAGTGCTGAAATTGTCTGGTAAACCTCTTACTAAACCTTGTACCTATCATCATCTTGCTTGTTGGATGCTACTCTTCATGTTCTTCATTACTTAAAGCATGCATCAAGTTCCTTTTTAGTAGCCAAAAGCACAACACAATTCAAAGCTTTTAGGGACTCCAGTTGGATTGAATGCCTTTATTCCCCATGCTTTGTTACCATTTTCTCTATTTACCTTACCAACTTTTTCATTTCTACGCATTCTAAAAAACGTACACCACTTATCTTAATTCTCCCTTTTCCTTTCCCATTATAGGTCTAATTTCTCTCTATGATAAAAACTACAAATACTTTTTTGTTATTCTCTTTAGGCATATTTTTCCTCTCTTTTTTTCTATAGCAACATACTCCATACGTTTATTTTTAGTCTCCACCGACGACGAGGTTCATGTTACTTTTTTATTTTTTCTCTTTATTTTAGCATTCACCAAACAAACTTAAAGTATATTTCGAAAGTGCGCATCTATTGTGTAGACACTAATTAATTTAGCATTCACCAAACATCAATAAAATTCTTGAAAGCCTGTATTTCATGCTTTAGTAAAAAAAAAAATTCATAAGTTTATTTTATAATGAGCTATTAAAGTTCATAATGCTTAGACACGCTAAATATACTTTAAGTTTCTATGACTTGTTTTATACTCTTGTAATAAAGTGGTGTGAAGTTTGAATTAAATTATCGCAAATATACTTGATATCAAAGAACGTGATAGAGTTATATATGTTGTAAAAAATTTTATATAATATTATGTTTTTATTCTCCATAAACAATTTTTTTTATTATCTTTAGATAACAGTAATAGTTTTTATCTGATTTTAAGGTTTTTCCATTATATTTTGTATTGATGGCTTTTATCTTATTTTTTTTTATTGGTGGATAATTTTTGGAAATAAAAACGTTAATGTTCTTCATAAAGGTTTTTCATCACTAATACACATGCCAAGGGTTAGAGACATGGTACATTAACCCATCATTTTTTTATTTTAAATTAAAATATGAAATAATTTAAAAAATAACTTGTTTATTTTATTTAGTTGTTTGAATTATGCAAATATACAATTGTATTTTTATTTAAATCAATAATATTTACAAACTAATTTAAATTGCTAATTTTAAAGGAGTAATTTACACGTAATAATCTTTTTAATTTATTAATTAGAGACATAATTAACCAATATTAAAAACTTAAAATATTTATAGGATCAAATATTATTTCAATATATAGTGAGGTATAAGACAGAGTTTCAATCCTCGCCACTCAACCAAAGCGAGCATGTCTGAGTAGTTTTGCCACCGTAATTATTATAACTCAAATACAATTGTTTTTATGTATATTATCAATACAATAAATATATGACAATCAAAGAAACAATATGGAAAAATTGTAAAAAGGGTAAAAAAAAAAATTTTCCATAAAATTAATGTCATTTTGGCATCTTTTTAAGTTTTTTTTCACATTGCGAACGTGATACTTTTAATGGAATCATAAAATAATAAAATTGAAAATTAATAATAAAATATTCGAAAAAATGTTTAATCATATAGTGATAATAATTGTGAGGAAAATAAGCCATTCAATCTTAATAATTATAAACACGAGCATTTTTTAATGTAAGTATGAAAGAATTCAATGTTTTATCTTAATTATTCCCTTGTGCCTTTTAATTATGGTATTTTTTGAAAAAAATTATTTGTAATCTATTTTGAAAGTTTAAAATTATATTAATTATTATTTTATCAATTATATTCTTCTTTTGTATTTAATTATACTTGATTTATAGTTTTATATTAATTTTTGTTATGAACTATAGAGATGGAAAGATGTAAAATAACATATTTTATAAATATTTCATGAAAATTTAGAAAATCTGTACAACAGGAAATGTGTCATGTGCAGGGAGATGGATGAAACAATCATGAGACTTTTTTTATATATAGATTATTTTGAACTTTATTTGTGAGTGGAAGATAGGAATTTTTTTTTCTAATTAGATTCTTTTTACTGTTTAAATATAATTTTTCTTATGTGAAAGAGTAAATTTTCATCATGTTTCTTTTTAACTCTTGCATATTGGGCTGAACTTTTGTTTTTTTGAAATTTCTAATAACAATTTTTTTCTTAATTTTTGTTAGTTTTGTTTAAAGCGGTCATCTTATTTTTTTAGTTGTTCAGAGTAGTTTTATATTTTATAAAAATAGTTTTCTAAGGGCGTTAAAAACACTAACTACGTAATGTTTACTTATAGTTAAGTTGGAAGCAATCCACTCTCAAATCTTTATTTCTGGATCAGAACCTAAAGAACTCTAAAACGCAAGCTTACATATTTCAAAAACCCAAAAAATGCAAGATCATAATACAATTACAAATCATCCTAAAACGTGAAATCATAAAACAAAATCCCAATTCGAAAATCCCAACCCCTAAATCAAATTAACAATTTACAGAGGAGAAACAAGACACAAGAAATTCTCAAATCAGAACCCTCAATCCCAAACGAAAATCTAAAATCCCTAAATCACAAAGAACACCAACCATTGCGCCACCAACCTATAGATAAAACAAAACATAAACTCAATCCAAGGAAGGAAACCCAACGTCGTGAGATCAGAATCCTAAAAATAAAACCCCAATTCGTAGTCCTTATACGAACAAAACCAGAACAAAACTAGAACAAGAAGAAGGAAAGAAGAAAAGTTCCTTGCGATGCCAACCAAAAACAAAGGAGAGGAAGGAAGAGGGTGTCTCCTTGCACGACGAAAAACCCACGCTGCTGGGTTTGTTCGAGAAAAAGAAAGTCGCGAAAATGGAAGCCAAGAGTTTCAAAAACTCTGATTAAGGTAAAAGGTAAAGTATCGTTTGGAATTTGAATTAACAAAAGGAAAATTAATTAGATGACAAATTTCACCAGATTCTTCAAACCAAATTCACTTGTCACGTAATGAAAAACTAGAGATATTATTCATTATTAGCTAAGTTGGACATTATGTAGTTAACGTTTTTAACACCGTCAACAAAAAAGACCAACATGAATCATTTCTATAAAACATAAAACCACTTTGAATAACTCAAATAAAAGGATTACTTAAAATAAAACTAACAAAATTAAGGACCAACATTGATATTAAATCTTTAGAAATGAATAAGAAATTACACTTAAACAATAAAGTGGTCTAGTTTAAGAAACAATTTTCCTAATAATGTACTAAAGTTATTAAAATTCAAAAGTGGTTTAAAAAAAATCTATCGATAATCAATCTCAAATACATTTTCAAAACTTCTCTATGATGGTTCTAAGATAATATGATTTGGAGGAAGTTAGGGATAGAATGAGATGGCGTTTGTGGAATTAAAGGAGTACTATACCATTCAGAATTGCAAAGCCAAATGAGAGTATGTACATGGATGAAGTGAAAAATACTCAAAGTGAAATTCTCTTGTATTTAAAATTAAAATATACTTGAAACTCTTGATGTTGTAAATAGAATAATAAATGGGTGCTTGTAGAAGAAAATTCTTACATATTCGGAACTGAATTCAATAGAAAAGAAATGCATGAATTGTGGGCGCAATTTGAGGCGTTTGCGGAGAACCTGAGGATGTAAACAGCTAACATGATTGGCCATGGATACCGAAAAGTATCACACATTCCCACCATAACTCACCAAACTTCCAAACCATTTTTTCTATTCATTCAATAATCAATATATTAATACCTATCACTTATCCACGAACCATCAACCGACAAACATACCCTCAACAAATAATATAACTATATATTATCATATTATATATATTATATTTATGTCTTTCCCTGTTTTTTGCCACTAATTTATATACTATTAATTAGCATACGTGGTTAAATTAACATTCTAAAATATATGAATTAGTGACCGAA